CTGAGTAGCTGGGATTACAGGCACGCGCCACCATGCCCAGCTAATTTTTTGTATTTTTAATAGAGATGGGGTTTCACCATTTTGACCAGGATGGTCCCGATCTGTTGACCTCGTGATCCACCCGCCTCGGCCTCCCAAAGTGCTGGGATTACAAGCTTGAGCCACCGCGCCCAGCCGGCTCCTCTTCTCTGTGGCTCTGCAGAGCTCGGCTCCGGTGGGGGAGCATGGGGAAAGTGTCCCAGCCCCCGCGCTGGAAGAGGCCACCCACCCGGTGGATTTCTCTTTCCAGCTGAGATCTTGGGATGAAAGAATGAGATTTCCTAGAGTCAGGTTCCAAAGCTTAGTGAAACAGGGGCTTTTAGGGCCCGCAATAGAGACAAAATTCAGCATGGAAATCTGAATATGAAAAATTGAGTAAATTAACATTCGGAATAGGACGGCCCGTCTGAATAAAGCAGTGCTATTCCCAAGTTAGGTCTGGAACCATCGACCCCAAACTGAGACACAATCACCAATGACTGAGCTGATCCCACCAAAATTTCTCAGCCACCGTTTACTTACCAAAAAGACAATGGGCCATTACGGGATTTCCCAGGGGAAAGGACTCTCGGGGTCTAGGATTGAGGGGCGGCAGCCTTTTTAGAGGAGGAGACCTCTCACCCCAAGGCCCAGGGTCGCCTTGAGAGGTGGTAGGGACTTCTGGGTCGCTGGATCCCTGGCGGGGGTCCATGACTCCGATTTCACAGGGCCAGGCAGCTCGCCCAGGAAGGGGACCTTCCAGGCTCTGTGACCCTGACTGGATGATTCAGCAATTTCCTTGTGGTCCAGACCGCTGTGAAAACCCGGCTTCTGGGATCCCAAACACAGAAGAGGGAGACAGAGGGAATGGGGATGCAGGGGACATCAGGAGACTCAGACACAGGAGCAGAAGAGACACACAGGCCTGCAGCCCTGCACTTCTGAACTTCAGCGGAATACTCATGCTATTCAGGGAATAAAAGATGGCATTACATCCTAACTAAACAGAAAGGTTCCACCGAGACTCGGATCGCTGGATTCAGAGTCCAGAATGCTCACCTTTACCCCGTGGAACCTTGCACTGAGGCTTTCCTGGAGGTGTCTGAATTCCTAATAAGTAGCAGTAGTTCTCATTCACCCATGTCAAGGCATTTCTATTGATCCCACAAGTAACACTTGGGAAAGGTGGACCTGCAGGAAGGGACCATTTCTCTTGCTTTCTCTCTGCCTTCTCTTTTGATTGACTTTCATTATTTCATTTGCACCTCAGAAAACAAGGGAAAATCCACTCCGGGTTTAGGGCCAGAGCCCTTGAAGCCTGGGTCACAGAGTTTCCTGTGCCGAGGTGAAATTTCTTTTCCTTCCTTCCCTCCCTTCCTTCCTTCCTCTCTTCCTTCCTTCCCTCCCTCCCTCCCTCCCTTCCTTCTTTCCTTCTCTCCTTCCTTCCATCCTTCTTTCCCTTTCTTTTTCTTCCCTTCTTTCTTTCCTTTCTTTTTTTTTAATTGAGACAGAGTCTCCTGTTGCTAAGGCTGGGGTGCAGTGCAGTGGCAGTGGGTGATCTCCCCTCACTGCAACCTCCGTCTCCTGGGTTCAAGTGATTGTAATCCCCAGTAGCTGGGATTACAAGTGTGAACCCCCACACCAGGCTAATTTTCATATTTTTAGTAGAGATGAGGTTTCACCATGTTGGCAAGGCTGGTCTTGAACTCCTGACCTCAAGGGATTTTCCCACCTCAGCCTCCTGAAGTGCCAGGATTATAGGTGAAAGCCACTGTGCCAAGCCCAGAATGAAATTTCTGCAAAATTTCTATTTTCTTTTTTTGTTTGTTTTTCCTCTTTTCCGTTTGCCCAAGAAGGCTGGATGATTGTCAGAACAGCACTTGGGACTTTTTGGGGCCTTCCTGTCTTCATCCATTTAGTATATAATGGATGACAGCAATCAAGAGAGATTGGACAGCAGGGAATCCTTTATTTTCTTCTTCATACACTTCTATGTTTTTTTTTTTTTTTTTTTTTTTTTTTTTTTTTTTTTTTTTTTTGGTTGGTTTTAATAAGATTTTTTCACCAGAAATGGAGATTTGTTGGATTTAAAATAAAAAGCAATCAGCCACATTTTACATTTCTATAAAACACTCAAACCAGGTCAGACTCACCAGTTGTGACTCAAAATCAACCATGTACTGTCAGATTCAGGAGACAGGGCCCTGACATTTAAGCACAGTGTGTTTTCCCAGAATTGGCCAAGTTTATGTCATTCCAATTTCTCAATATACTATGACCCATCAATTGCGGTTTTTAAAAGAGTGCATCTATTGTTACCAAAAACACTGGAGTTCGGTCTAGGCCTTGGTGCTCAGCACACTGAAAGCCAGTCATTAACACATTGAGTATTGCTGCGGAAGAAGGCTTTAATCCAGTGCTGCAGATGAGGAGACAGGAGATCAGTCTCAAATCTATCTCCCCGATCAACTAAAGTTAGGGGTTTATATCGCAGGGAAGAAATGTAACTGTGTGTGGGAACGGAGGAACTAGGGAGGGGTTAGGAAGCACTTATGATGAATGAGGGGTCTGGGCATCTCACTGTCTGGGATGCTATGATCTGTTGAGTTTCAGGTCTATGATGCTTTTTGAGAGGCCTGAGGGTCCTTTCCTGAGGAAAGAACTCTGATAAAACAAATGTAAGTTTCAAGCTTTAAGAACAGAAGAGTCCATTTCCATGCCTATCTGAAAACACTGTCGGTGGGACTATTGGGTCAATTTCTGTCCCCGCTTTCTATTTTCAGTTCCTGAATCACGCAGAATCTGATCATTGATCTTTCTGGCTGTGCCATGTGGAGAAGGGGCGTCCTGGGTGGCTCCATACCATGGGTGACTGCATGGCCACCCAGGAATCAAAGGTTCATCTAATACTGTAGTTTCTCCTAAAATACAATCTTCCTCTCTCCAGTTGCCCATTTCCACTAAAGACAAAACACAGCAGAACCAACCTAGCTGCAAAAGAAGCTTCAGTCTCATATATGTGTCCTGATTACCCATACAAAGTGCCGCAAGAATCATTGTTCATATAGGCCCTTGTAAATTGACTTTGCTGGAACATTTCATAGCACCATTTCAGTCAAAGGGAAATTTCCAATGCCTCCACCTGTGTCCCATGATAAAACAAAACAGATGCTTATTGAACTTATGCACACAAACACATTGTCATGAATTAAGAATATTCAGTTTACAAATTTGGGAGAAATTAGGCAGAGAGAGAAATATATGCCTCAAATTTTGTTTATAAGACTATTCTACTCAATTGTTACAGGGTATAGACAGTGCAAAAGGAAAAATGGTCACCAGACTCTGAAGAATCAACAACGTTTCAAACTAACAAACAAATGCCTCGAAAACTGATTTCAGTCCTCCATGAGTTCAATCCATGCAATCAATCAACTCCTGCTCTGCTTCATATTGGGCTTGCAATCTTTACAGGCACATCCGCCTTTCTAGTAGTGCCCTGATAATTCTCTCTTTAGTTCAATGGCACGGCCTCCATAGTTATCAGAAACCTGCATGCAAGAGTTCTTTTTACAGACTTTTCCAAAATAGCGAGGCCTGGACTGTAGCTGATTAGAAGTCACTTTTTGAGAAAAATCAAAGCAAAACAACAACTGTGGATGACAAACGCCTCAAGACAGCCATAGTTAGAGACACAGCTGACAAGGGAATTGGGTTGTCTCTGTGGCACATGACAATTTAACATAATAATCACAATTATTACCAGCAGCATATTAGAACTTTAGAAATCTCACACAATTCTGGAACACACATTAACAACACATCTATGTCAATATAACCCAAAGGAAGTTAAAAACCACCTCAGATTCGACAATGCTTCCTGCATAATTCTAACATAGTGCATCAGCCTAAGAAGCCTGATAGTCTCTCTTGGACTTCAAAGAACATATATCCAAGAAGTTAGTTTGAGATCCAAAAGGCTGATTTATAAATTTTACTCTTAGAAACTTTGCCAAATATCAAAGTTTTGAGACATTTGATATCACAAAATAGGATCACAAGTCACCTTAAAATAGTCAGTCATTTAGCCAAAATGATGAAACAAAAACTTTCACCCTTTGAAAGAGAAGAATCCGAGTTTCCTAAACAGTCAGACCTAATGAAGACAACATGAGGCCAACTGCATCTGTCTCTCCCCTTCTTTCTTTTGCCCTGCAGTTTACTCTAAAGGTAAACAAAAATATTTCATTGAATATTAATCTTATACAATCATTTTGTTCAAAAGAGAAAACTACATTTTACCTTTATATCGTCTATTACCACGTTAAAGCTAATTTTAATAAAACCTCATATACAAATTTGATTATAATCAGTCTTACCATAATGTAAGATTTCTATAACCCTTTTGTAACCTTTTATACTTTCTATTAAAGAGCAGATGACTGCTCTAAGAAAACCCTGTTATTCCAATACACGGGCCCAGATGCTGGCATTGCATCAGTGTGCCTCTG